GTGAATACTCATGGTGGTGTATACTCATAGTGGTGTATACTCACGGTGGTGTATACTCATGCTGGTGTATACTCATGCTGGTGTATACTCATGGTGATGTATACTCATGCTGGTGTATACTCATGGTGGTGTATACTTATGGTGGTGTATACTCATTCCGGTGTATACTCATGGTGGTGTATACTCATGCTGGTGTAAACTCATGGTGGTGTATATTCATGCTGGTGTATATTCATGCTGGTGAATACTCATGCTGGCCTACATTCATGCTTGTGTGTATTCATCTTTGAATAACCCTTGATGAATAACCTATACCTAAAATAGGTTCATCTTCATCTAACCCTTGTGTAGTCGACATCCCATGAAGTCACCGAAGACATCACACCACAGAGTGAACGCGACGCCAACTCTCTATCTCTCTCTCTCCCACTTAACACACTTTCAACCATACTATATTTTGCTCAGCAAGGTCTTCAGTTACGGCCCGTGGGTGATCCTTAAGACCATACAGCACGGGTTGTTCCCCCGTCTGACTGTTGTAACCTCAACATGATCAACACCCCGACGGTGTAGTTCCTAAGACGCTCAAACTATCATGCAATGTTGTGATCAGAACCTTTTACCAGAATTAGAACGTTGAAGCCTTTTGCAGCTGATTACTGAAATAAATGCTGGAATCCTTTGATGACTTCCCATTTAGTGTTTGTGTAATAGATATTATATATTGGAGTTGAAGTCCTTGAAGGAGATTTTAAGCGATCCGCTCTCCTCCTCGTCAACACTCTCAGTGATCACTATAGATAAGGTAAGGTAATTATCAAAAGAAGGCACCAAACCGGGAAGGCTATGTAGCAGCATCAAACTGCGAAATAATCAGAGCGCGCTAAAAATCACCAAGAATGCCAATACGAGAACAAAAACGCATAAGGCGAACAATATCAAAAGTATCCGATTCACCTAGAATTCTATCGAGGGACAAGTGACCGCGAGGGACGGTCGGAAAGTAAGACACACACTCGTCCTAGAAGGCAGGACATTCAACAAGGATATGCACAACTGTAAGAGGGACAACGCAATTCGGACAATAAGGAGCAGGGCGGCGCTCCATTAAGTGACCATGGGATAAGCGAGTATGGGCAACCCGCAGCCGTGCTAAGCAGTTTCCCATCGCCAGTTACGGTGGTAGGAGGAAGGCCACGGGGACACACTACGTTTGAGAGTACGCAATTTGTTACTAACCACAGAGGACCAACAATCCTGCCAACGGGAAAGGATGGAGGAATAAAATACCTTTACGGGAGATGGGACAAGAACGGATAGCTTCCTTAGCAGCATCCGCACGCTCATTGAAAGAAACACGAATATGGCTGGGAACCCAGCAAAACTCTACTGATTTAAATTTACTAGAAATAAGAAACAGCCAATGTTGAATCTCGATGACCACTGGATGGACAGGATTAAAGGACCCTAGAGTCATGAGGGCACTACGAGAGTCAACTACAACCACAAAGCAGGAATGATAAGGAGAAAGCAAGAGACGGAGAGCATAGAGAATAGCATAAAGTTCTGCTGTAAAGACGCTAGCCTCCGAAGGGAGGCGACACATATAAGTACGGTCAGGAAAAACAACAGAGTAACCCACACCGTCCGCAGACTTAAACCCATCGGTGAAGAAGGAGATAGAGTGGGAGTGCGATGTAAAGTGCTCAAGGAAGAGGCTTTTCAGAATTGTTGGAGGGGTAAAGGCTTTAGTAATACAAGTCAAAGCCGTACAAAACTTTGGAAGGGGGACTCTCCACGGAGGCAAGGAAGAAACAATATGAGGAGAAACATTAGAAATATGAACAGAAAGAGAATCCTGTAAGCGAGATAACTGGACATTAAGAGGGAGACGATGAAGAGGAACAGGAGCTACAGGAGGAGGACAAGTCAAAGCACGACAAAGACGAGAGGAAGGATGTTGAAAGGACCGCGCATGATAGCGAAGACAGTAGCGATCACGGCGGTCCTGGAGAGAGAGAAAGCCAGTGTCAACATACAAACTAAGGGCGGGAGTCAACCCGTTCTCGCACTTTCTTACAGTCAATATTGACTTATTAAATAAGTGCATATGTGACATACTAATTTATTGTGAATATTTTAGTTTACCTTGAAAAGCTTCATAGAAAACACCGACCTTACCTAACCTTCTTAGTATGTTAAGATAAGCATCTTATTGCTTCGTAATTACAATTATTACTTAACCTATACCTATAATAGGTTAAGTAATAATTGTAATTACGAAGCAATAAGATGCTTATCTTAATATACTAAGAAGGTTAGGTAAGGTCGGTGTTTTCTATGAAGCTTTTCAAGGTAAACTAAAATATTCACAATAAATTAGTATGTCACAAATGCACGTATTTAATAAGTCAATATTGACTATACGAAAGTGCGAGAACGGGTTGCGGGAGTCGAACGAAAGGCACCAGAGCTGAGACGCAACCCAGTATGGTGGATCGCTATGGGTGATGACCATTGTGATGATGAGAGAGATGAGGGGACATTGTGATGATGAGAGAGTGAGGGAACATTGTGGTGATGAGAGCGATGAGGGAACGTTGTGGTGATGAGAGAGATGAGAGGACATTGTGGTGATGAGAGCGATGAGATCAGAGATGAGAAGATGAGAGAGATGAGGGAACATTGTACTTGGTAACTCAGAAATGGTTTTGTGCTGTTAATAATTATGTCAAATGCTTTTTTGTACTTTAATTCCATTTTTTAATAATTGATAAAAATATATCTGATGATAATACTTAATAATTATGATTAAAATTTTAATTAACAGAGAAGTTCAGTGACTTCCGGGCTGTGTTTCTCCATATAATTCACCACACTGTAACCCAAACCAGTTCATATGGTTTCGTACCAGCAGAACAATAAAATTAAACATCAGAATACAGCCGGACAATGTCTATGTTGTATCTACTAATACTAAGGGTTCAGAGTTTCACCATCTGCAATCATCTTCAGACCAATCACATCTATAATACTTAATTAGTCTGCCTCTGTGGCAACTTTGGAAAATTTTGTTGATGACTCAGTTCCAAGTGACTTTAGAAAAGGCAGAGAACACAAACAGGCTGAAGAGATAAATGTATATGATTATTTTCTTTATCTGTCGTGAGGCACATCCACCAGGAAATAGATCAACACAGATAATTAGAATTTATTTTGTTTCTTCAATTGGAGAATGCTAGGATTCAATCATCTTTTTAGTATTATGTCATTATGAAAGACTAGGCAGTGATCTCAATGTATTGCTAAACCTAAACCAATGACAGAACGTCATCCAAGTGGTAAGCACCTTGTGGCACGAATATAGAATGAATTATTGCATAGGTTTAGTCGAACGAACCATGAAGGTTTTATTACCAATCTGTCAAGATCATCGCATTTTCCGATGATTATAGACGAAGCATGAAACCCTTGTTACATGTGGTACTTCAGGTTATGGTGGTGCTTGAGGCCACCAGACAGAGCACCAACAGGAACATTGGACGGCCACATATGGCCTAGTATCACGCACCAACTGGAGCCGGAACCAGAGAGATTGGTATAGAATGAATAACTTCCAGCATAATGAAAACAATTTATGGCATGCTGACAGGAGATGCTAACACGAAGACGGAGAAACATACGTTGAAAGTTATTTACATCCTGAGTGCACATATCAGTAACATTGTATCAATGATTGTTGACAATATTTTACTGTAGTGACAATATTTTACCGTGTTACCCTGTGTCAGAGCAGTACAGTAAAGTACCCGGGTTTGGGCAACAGCGTAGAATTGATGCAAATGAACAGTTGAGAGACACGAAATGATTAGTACAAATGGAAACAAGATTTTTCGTTAACACATTTTGAATCAATTTTACTTAAGAAGAAAACCGTTATATTGATTGGAAACTAGACAGTTTAATTCAAATGTTTCAGGCCGATTGAGAGCTGTTTAACCTGTACATATATTTACAATTTATTATTTGCAAATCAAGGAACTTACAGTTCAATCTTATAAATAAATTACCAGATTGGTCGTTTGCAACGAATTCATGAAAGGTCCAATTCAAGAATAGCAAAGACTAGATGTTTATGCAATATTTACCAAACTTCGTTAGCTTCAATTGTCATCAGAGCTAATGAAAAGACGTAATTAAATCAAATCTTTTAGCATTAGAGATAGTAGTTATATAAGCCATACTATTCTCACTCAGTAGGTGTTCTCCCTATCAGATCCTCTACTTATTTTTTCCATACCAAAACTAGAAATATATGAATTTTCCGTTACGTAAGTCAGCAAGATACTAGAGATTTAAACCAGACCTATAATAGAGACTTTCTAAAGTTTTAAGAAAATTTGACGGTAATAAAGTTGGTTTAAAAAAATAGGGTCACTGCATCTTCCAGGACTATCAAGGGCCATAGATGTGGCACCCTTTGGTAAAATAGAGCACAAACCACAAAAAAAGCACATTTCTAGTGGAAATCTTCTCAAATTCCAGGCCGATTAGGGCAATCTATCGATGTTTCTTCACACCGACCACATCAAAATACCTGGTGCAGTAACCGGGTACCAAAAGGTAACTCGGCTGGCGAGTTGTTACCAACTCTTTCGTAACTGGGTTCTTTTAAGCTACGATCCAACTCAAGTTCAGAGATCCCTAAACTTAGTGGGTATGTAGTGTAATGTTTAAGGTGTGAAATAAAATTACACTTACAAATATCACTTATCTACAATTATCATTATATACGAGCTTCTAAGAAGGTCATTACTAGCGCATCACTAGCCCTCACACTAGCTGCAGTTATGGTGACGTCTTAAAGCTCCCCCACTAGCTCACTCGCTAGCACACTCCATCAGTGAAGCTAGCAGTACTCCACTAGCCCTCTGGCTGGCACACTCCATCAGTGAAGCCAGCAGTACTCCACTTGCCCTCTGACTGGCACACTCCATCAGTGAAGTCAGCAGTGCTCGACTAGCCCTCTGGCTGGCACACTCCATCAGTGAAGCCAGCAGTGCTCCACTTGCCCTCTGGCTGGCACACTCCATCAGTGAAGTCAGCAGTGCTCGACTAGCCCTCTGGCTGGCACACTCCATCAGTGAAGCTAGCAGTTCTCCACTTGCCCTCTGGCTGGCACACTCCATCAGTGAAGTCAGCAGTGCTCCACTAGCCCTCTGGCTGGCACACTCCATCAGTGAAGTCAGCAGTGCTCCACTAGCCCTCTGGCTGGCACACTCCATCAGTGAAGTCAGCAGTGCTCCACTAGCCCTCTGGCTGGCACACTCCATCAGTGAAGCTAGCAGTTCTCCACTTGCCCTCTGGCTGGCACACTCCATCAGTGAAGTCAGCAGTGCTCGACTAGCCCTCTGGCTGGCACACTCCATCAGTGAAGTCAGCAGTGCTCCACTTGCCCTCTGGCTGGCACACTCCATCAGTGAAGCCAGCAGTGCTTCACTAGCACTCTGGCTGGCACACTCCATCAGTGAAGCCAGCAGTGCTTCACTAGCCCTCTAGCTGGCACACTCCATCAGTGAAGCCAGCAGTGCTCCACTAGCCCTCTGGCTGGCACACTCCATCAGTGAAGCCAGCAGTGCTCCACTTACCCTCTGGCTGGCACACTCCATCAGTGAAGCCAGCAGTGCTCCACTTGCCCTCTGGCTGGCACACTCCATCAGTGAAGCCAGCAGTGCTTCACTAGCCCTCTGGCTGGCACACTCCATCAGTGAAGCCAGCAGTGCTCCACTTGCCCTCTGGCTGGCACACTCCATCAGTGAAGCCAGCAGTGCTCCACTTGCCCTCTGACTGGCACACTCCATCAGTGAAGCCAGCAGTGCTCCACTTGCCCTCTGGCTGGCACACTCCATCAGTGAAGCCAGCAGTGCTCCACTTGCCCTCTGGCTGGCACACTCCATCAGTGAAGCCAGCAGTGCTCTACTTGCCCTCTGGCTGGCACACTCCATCAGTGAAGCCAGCAGTGCTCCACTTGCCCTCTGGCTGGCACACTCCATCAGTGAAGCCAGCATTGCTCCACTTGCCCTCTGGCTGGCACACTCCATCAGTGAAGCCAGCCGTGCTCCACTTGCCCTCTGGCTGGCACGCTCCATCAGTGAAGCCAGCAGTGCTCGACTAGCCCTCTGGCTGGCACACTCCATCAGTGAAGACAGCAGTGCTCCACTTGCCCTCTGGCTGGCACACTCCATCAGTGAAGCCAGCAGTGCTTCACTAGCCCTCTGGTTGGCACACTCCATCAGTGAAGCCAGCAGTGCTTCACTAGCCCTCTAGCTGGCACGCTCCATCAGTGAAGCCAGCAGTGCTCCACTTGCCCTCTGGCTGGCACACTCCATCAGTGAAGCCAGCAGTGCTCCACTTGCCCTCTGACTGGCACACTCCATCAGTGAAGCCAGCAGTGCTCCACTTGCCCTCTGGCTGGCACACTCCATCAGTGAAGCCAGCAGTGCTCCACTTGCCCTCTGGCTGGCACACTCCATCAGTGAAGCCAGCAGTGCTCCACTTGCCCTCTGGCTGGCACACTCCATCAGTGAAGCCAGCAGTGCTCCACTTGCCCTCTGGCTGGCACACTCCATCAGTGAAGCCAGCAGTGCTCCACTTGCCCTCTGGCTGGCACACTCCATCAGTGAAGCCAGCAGTGCTCCACTTGCCCTCTGGCTGGCACGCTCCATCAGTGAAGCCAGCAGTGCTCGACTAGCCCTCTGGCTGGCACACTCCATCAGTGAAGACAGCAGTGCTCCACTTGCCCTCTGGCTGGCACACTCCATCAGTGAAGCCAGCAGTGCTTCACTAGCCCTCTGGTTGGCACACTCCATCAGTGAAGCCAGCAGTGCTTCACTAGCCCTCTAGCTGGCACGCTCCATCAGTGAAGCCAGCAGTGCTCCACTTGCCCTCTGGCTGGCACACTCCATCAGTGAAGCCAGCAGTGCTCCACTTGCCCTCTGGCTGGCACACTCCATCAGTGAAGCCAGCAGTGCTTCACTAGCCCTCTGGCTGGCACACTCCATCAGTGAAGCCAGCAGTGCTTCACTAGCCCTCTAGCTGGCACGCTCAATCAGTGAAGCCAGCAGTGCTCCACTAGCCCTCTAGCTGGCACGCTCCATCAGTGAAGCCAGCAGTGCTCCACTAGTCCTCTGGCTGGCACACTCCATCAGTGAAGTCAGCAGTGCTCCACTAGCCCTCTAGCTAGTACGTCTCAAGGTCAACCAGTGTACTTCTTCACTCTGCTGCCAGACATCAGCTGCCAGACATCAGTAGCTCATCACCTCCCAGAACAGCAAACTAGAAAATGGGAAACTGATATTAATGGGAGGGTCAACTGTTTAACTCGGAACCTAGATCATAGATGGCGCCGAGGTCCGTCACACGAGTCATGTTTAGGGGGAAAAGAAACCCCCGAAAGACCTAAATGGTTTGAGCCCCAGACAGAAGGAATGCGTTCCATGTGCCAACTATCAGACAAGCAGCGTTCTTTCAGAGCTTCACAAGGTCGTGTTATTAACGGTAAGGAGAAGAACAAGGTTGATAGCACGAAATAATCAAGGGGGCAGAGAGAAAGAGTGAGCAAGGAGGCAACAAAGGGGATCAGTCTTAATCAAAGTGCCACAGTGATTAGTTGTTTGACCTAGACGGCTTCTGCTGCAGGTCTACCATATACAATTCGAAGTATTATCCTACTTGATAATGCTTCCTATCAATGCAATATTTAAGAAACAGCCCGTCCTCCTGTTTAGGTAGTACTTATAACAACGATGAGGATCATTGTACATATATTAACGTAAAAGAAGATTACAAATTGGAAATCAGTACTATTGCTTTTGTCAAACCGGAAACGTTTAGCTACTGATGTTGCAATGAAAATTTAACCGAATCTAACTTAACCTTCCTAGGCCTACTACCAGCTCTCTGATGCTTAATATAGTACATATATGCGCTATACTAGGCCTATCAATATTTAAGTTTGGTTTGTAGCTATTTGTTTCAAACTCTATAAAGTGAATAGTACAAAATTCTACTTTCTAACTGCCAATTACTTCTATGCATTTACGATAGTGCACACAGTTACCATATGTACTGTCTAAACAATAAGATGGGTTGTAAGAATATGACTCAGAAGAAAGGACTACAAAATGGCTGAGAAGAACCGGGACCAATTAAAACTTGTCAATAAATTCGCAATAATTACAATCAGTGAAATTGGCGACGGGCGGGCGGGGCGTTGATCAAAATATAAACATTGAGAAGAAAACATCTGTGACGGTCTTTAAATAAATATTATTATAAATGAAATATTACTTCTAAGCAGCCATCTGCTCACTTAGTAATATTATATTAGTATGAGGCATACGAAGAGTTAGCAAATATTCTGGAAACCTTCTGGAATATTATAAGGAAGAGCTAACTCGCATGGGCCAGCAAGGCAACTGAAACTTCCTAATTTTAATACGTTCTTAAGTTTTATTTCTTATGGTATTTGAGGATTAAAATATATCTTCGTTTTATATTCAACTCATCTATCAGGAACTTGTATTACACACACACACACACACACACACACACACACACACACACACACACACACACACACACACACTGTGGCAACCATGGAAGGTTGCTTGAAGGTTACGCAACCACGTACAGACCAGATCAACCTTGGAACATTTAATCATTTGATACAGAACCAGAGGGTGTGTGTTCCTCAGACCAGGATCCCCTGATTTAGAGAAACATCAAGTCCAGATTATAATGAAAGGATGTCTCCTATATTCTGTTTGTACTTAATCTAATGAATGAAGTCTAATATTACAGGGTTGATGCTACAGACGTTATGTCCTTGTTAGTTAATGAAGTCTAATATCTATTTATTTATCAACAACAGATGATATTCGAAGCCCAATGAATAATGCTTGGTCTTCAAGCTATTGTTGATAAATGTATTTTAAGCATTAAAGGTATTAAAGAATTGTGGGATGAGTATTTTTTGGAAGTAACTATAATTGATGATTATGGACAGTTGAAAAAATAATTGTTCATGTCTTAAGGGAACCCCCTGCATACATATTATTCGATATATATGTGTTATTCTCAAATATATATTTATTAATCACAAAAATCAGTCATACTTCTAAACACACACAAAAAATTGATAATATTGAAAAAGGCATAAAATATATCAAGACAACATGAACTAATTTGAGGACCAAGACATTATTACTTTTCAAACCAATTTAGATAATGAATTTCTTTTCTCTAATCTGAAACCGGTGCTTGTTTTTTTGTAAACAAATACTTAATTCGGGGTTCAACTTTAAATAAACAGACGGATTTAATTTTCAACTGAAAGGAGACGAGTTCTGTCTTTACTCTTCTTACAGGTTATATGAAAAAAAATTCTCACACGTGTAAGAAGTTGATAACTACAGCAATATAATTCTTGCTTTCCTGTGAATGACAGGGTGGAACGATAAGGAAAAAACGCCATGCCATTACGATTATATACCCTTGGAAGGGGTCAGGGACGAGGGGAAAGGAATGGGACCCAACCACTTGGACGGTTGGGGATTGAATGTCGACCTGCATAAAGAGAGACCGTCGCTCTACCGTTCAGTCTAGGTGGTTGCTGTCAATGACATGATAATCATCATTCACAGAAATCCAGAACTTATCCAGGGAAAGGTTGGGATATCTCATCATGCGTGAACCATCACACTGCAGCTCACAAAGTTTGTTCTCTTCTCTTATATGCAAGTTCTCGTGATGAACGAAGCATTCGCAGAACTGATCCCTCACCCGAGCACGCACTTGAGAGTGAGGGAAAATATATAACATTAACAATAACACTAAAAGAAGCCCAACAATATATTATAAAACCGCAAAAACCTGAAAAATGGACATTCATTATAAAAACTAATTTAATGTATATATATATTAAAATTGAGAATTGTAATGAAACACAAGAATTACTAAAAAAAAAATACACTTGCACATGATAAACATGATGCAATGTATCACTATATCTCGTGGAACCCCCTTATATAATGACCACTTGTGGAACCCCCCTTATAATACGACCTCTCGCAGAACCCCTTTATATAAGAACCACTTACGGAACCCCCTTTTAATACGACTTCTCGCTGATCCCCCTTATATAACGAACTCTCACAGAACCCTCTTATATTACGACCTCTTGCAGAACCCCCTCTGTATAACGACCTCTCGCGGAACCCACCTTATATAACAACCTCTCGCAAAACCCCCTTATAATACGACCTCTCGCAGAACCCCCTTATATAGCAACCTCTTCCAGAACCCCCTTATTTAATGACCTCTTGCGGAACCCCCTGATATAACGCCCTCTCGCGGAACGCTAGGGTTCCGTGTAGCCCCGGGTGGGGGAGGGGGGAACACTGTTCCGTTAGTGTGGTGTTTCACGATCCCTTTTGGTGCTCCTCAGGTTGGGTCCCCCTTGTGTTCTCCGGAGGCGTTCTTGACGCACTAATTGTCTT